GTAAACCTTTAACCTTCGTTAACCGATTGTCCGGAAATTTCGAGGTGCCGTTGGTAACGTCACATTCATGATGGTAGTTTTGAATTTCAGGTGCAATGTGATAATTTACCTTCCTGGAAATTACCGGTTCACATTCTGGTACTGTTCTGCAACAAGCGGGTTTGTTTTTTATTCTCTCAAGGTGATCAGCCTTCTCGCATACTTCTCTGGACCTTTTGCATGATTCTTGTAGTTCCTTACTTCCTTCTTTATAGAAAAAGCCGTATGTCTGATTGGTTGTGACCGGTCTTTCCTTGATGAAGTGATTGAAAGTCTGTGGACCTTTGTACTCTTCCATTTGAAACGGCGCGGTTGCTATGACTGCCACTTAACTGATTTCTGCCAAGTTCATAAGCAGAACAGAAGATTCGCACAGGATTAGGCAACAAAAGAGAATCATCATTTAGAGCATAGCACAACATCCTATAAACATACTCTCACTTACTCTAACAGTTTCATTTCGGTTCTCATTTTATTCTTCTCACCAGATGTTGTTGATCACTGAATAACAGACACGGATTCATGGTTTGATACACAGGATCGAGGCATTTGCCCAAGTTTCACGGATCAGTTTTGTCCTTGTCGTTCAGCTCCTTATGTTCTCAGCAAAAGGCAGTATGTATGCCAGCACGATGATTCGCATAAATAAATGTCTAGTAGTGTATCGAATTGAGTTATAGAAGGAGCGTAGACAAACGTCAGGAAGGATGCTACCATCGGAAAAGAGAACAAATATGCCGCATGAATGTGTGCGCACTGAGCTTGAAAATTTTCTTACTATGTCCTTGCCGTGTGCTTGCTGGCTCAACGGTGAAAATCCTGTTGGCCAAGCTTTGTTCAAACAGGGCGTAGGTAAGAATTAGGTCCCCTCGGAGGGGATGATACTCCAGGGGAAAGAGATCAAGCATCGCGAGACGCGTTTCGTAGTCCACGGACTTGAGGCCGGCAACCATTCTCGTAGCGGCCCGCTAGACGCGCTCAATGAGAGTGAAGTCTTTCATGCGTCCTGAGTAGACAACTTGGTTGGCGTACTCCAGGAACGGTCTGACGTGGGCCCCATAGAGTATTTGGAAGTCCATGCGAGTAATACGGGAGAAGGTGCGTCGGATCATCCGTAAAATGGTGAATGTCTTTTGGGCCGACTTCTCATGGTTTAGTGAGAAGGACAAGTCTGAGGAGACCCAGATGCTTTTGAGAAGTCGAAAAATATGGCATCCGATATGAGTACTTCGTCCTTGGCTTGGGTTAAGCTGCCCATAAACACGAGCATGTTTGTCCTGCAAGAACAGTTTGGGAGAAATCCGTGTTTAGCTGGAGATATCAGATTGTTGGAAGTAAGGTGATCCAGGATGGCTCGCTTCAGAATGCCTTCTATCACCTTGCACGGCACGCAAGTGTCGCTTATAGGCCTGTAGCTCCAGGCGATAGTCGGTCACCAGTTTTGTAGATTGGCGTGACAATCGCTTCATTCAAAGCAGAGGGAAGGCAGCCTTCGTCAAACAACCTAGGACACACTAGGTATAAATGATTTGCCAGTATACACGACGCTTCTCTCAGGATCCTTGGTTGGACCTCGTTGGGCCCCAACGTGCAGAATCGGTTGATCTTGGGCAAGAGTTGAAGAATGTCCTCCACCGTGAAGACCAAGTCGGCTAGGGGCTGTTCGTAGTTACACCTTGACATGAGTGGATATTACGAGGAACCTGGGGCTGAGTATGGACACGCACAGTGTTCTCTGTAATCCTCAGAACCCATTGTCGGGTCCCCCGTGGGTTCCCCGCTCCTGTCACTCAAGGAGAACGCGGATGGCTTGTTTCTGCGGCGACGTCTCATGTATTTGAACAAGACGTTTTCGTTTTTTCGAGCGAGGTTCAGAATGGTGGCTTGTTTTCGTATGTTCCATTGACGGATTTCCGACTTACAGCGATTCCGCATTTTACAAAATGCCAGCTCATCTTCTGTGTCCCCTGTAGTCAACTTTTTGAAAGGGTTGGGTCCTTTTCTCCTGACGTCGCCGAATCCTTTTTGGCAGCCTGCGGTTCATCCGAGTGTGTGCTGGTTTTCTTGAGACGAACATCACGTCAGCCCCGTGAATTTTCTGGACAATGATCCTATTTGATTCTTCCACTGAAGCCGGTTGGATTTTAATTTGTTCAAGAAAGATGCGCATTCCTGAGAAGTCTGCACGACGGAGGTCTCAAAACCGCGTTCGAGGTTTGGGGTTCTGGCCCAATAGCAGATGAAATCAAAGGTCAACACACAGTGGTCACCGTGTACTAGTGGAACGTTTATTGTTACCTGATCGGCTCAGCGTCTTAGTGATGACCCAATCCAGGAGGGATGTTAGTTGGCCTGCGCGGTATCTGGTGGGTGCAACGACATGTTGAGTCCAAGCACTGAGTTGAACGACTGCAAACAGCGCCGCTGCAAAAACCCTCCTGATTCGACGCGCTGGAGCTCAATCCAGGAAGCCTTTGGGGCTTTGAAGTCACCTACCAGCAGCAGATGAGTGAAGTGGTAGTTGGAGAAGAGTTTTCCAAGGGTTTGTGTGAGGAATTGGTCATCTTCAGGGGGACTCGAAGGGCTACGGTAGGCCACGCCGAGAAGGAGAGAATCTGACCCGCGCAGCGGGATTTGGACCCACAGTGCATCGCAAAACGGTACAGGATTGGTGTCAGAGAGGACAATCGGTATTGGTAGGTCCGCATGTAAGCACACAGCAACCCCACCTGCCCTCTCTCGTTTTGAGTCAGCTCGAAAACTAGAGTAACCGTCAATCGAGATCTCCTCGTCAGGGACACCTGGTGTGAGCCCGGTCCCTGTGAGTGCGATTATGGACGGTTGTTCAAGGCAAGCTGACTGTTTAATATCGCCGAGTTTGTTGAAAAGGCTGGGGCAGTTCGTGGACAAGCAGTTCAACACCGTCTGCTGCTTCCGAGGGTGAAGAGCCGAAAGTTGAGTGACCAGGGTGGTTAGCAGACTTAATAGTTTTGCACCGGGTTTGAGTCTGAGTCCAAGGCTCCAAGGGGGCATCTGGGGCGATGTCTGCTTCCTGCCTTCGTTGTTTCTGGAGGTGCTTTTCACTTGCGAGGTTTATTTCGTTCCGTAGGAGCCCGGGCTGCTCGGGCCTTTTAGCTTTGGGGGACGGAGTTTTTTCCCATAGGCGAAAATTTCGACCGATGCTGTTTGCAGCTCTTTCAGCATCCCCTTTTTGTTGACCAGATTTGCTGCTAATCAAAGATTTGCTGAAAGCTATCGCCTTTCTGGATCCTTGGGCGTTTTGGCGCGGTTTGACCGGAAAAGCGTCTCTGTGAGGCCCTGAGCGCTGGGTGGTGGCACCAAGAAATAATAATTTTGGTTGCGCTCCTAAGAGGCTGGTTTTCGCGGAGGACTGCACCTTGAAACCAGCCAGCGGTTTTCAAATCTGGCGAACTTTATGTGGCTTGTTTGGCTGCAGTCTCTCTCGTTCGTGTTTGTGTGGATACCCGATCCGCCGGCGATCAGCGTGGCCAACTGGATGTACGATGGATTTTCCGGATAGCTGTAGTCATGGTTATGGTTTTGGTTGTCTGGGTCCTGGGCGACGGTTTGACGGAGTGGAGCTGGAGATTGGCTTCGCTTCTTGAATCCAGTTCAGAGGCTGTGGCTTTGTTGAGGAGTGCACGGCTGCAACTTTGTCCTCTGATACGGAGATAAGCGTTGATAGTTCCACGGAATTTGGGCGCTGCTTTCATTTGGGGTTTGCCTCATCCAGGGCGTCCCTGCCTTTGGTGGGCGAGAAGCATGTGGTAGTCGAATAAAAACTACTGTCCGGAGACGCAACTGGTTTCGTCGGCCTGCTTTCGGGAGCACAGGGGGATACGACCACAATCGGCTTGGTCATGAGTTTGGGGTCGGCTGTATTGTTGCCCGGCGGAAGCCTGTTTCGTGCTTCCAACCCCGACCTGCTATGACCAAGCTCTCGCACGTCTAGGGGACGATTCTCAGATAGGCGAGTGATCATTAGGTTGGCCTTTTGAATGCTGCCAGCCCGCTCCAAGGTCTCCTGTAGGTCAGATGGGGAAGAAAGTGTGACTAGAAATCCAAGAATTCGCTTACTTCCCTTCCGGCGTGGCCATTCTGCGTAGAGCGATTTATCAGGCTTGGTGAGGACATTGCTAAGGATCGACTGTACCAGCTTCGTTGGCGTGATTTTTTCGGAGAATGGCCCCCGGATTATCAGTCTATTTTCCCTTAGGCGCCTGTCCACTAGGGACGTTGTGGCGGTTTTTATAGCCGCGTCAGAAAGTTGTATGACTTTCTTCGCAGCCAGAGGACCCGGTATGGATGTCGCGAGGTACTCGTTCAGCGAAGAAAGTTCCTTGTCAACTTTCGTCCAAGTCGCTGCATTCTTGGTGTCTGAATCCTCCAATGTCTTAGAAAGACGCTCCAATTTCGCGTCGAGTATCCTGATCAAAGCGGAACGCCCACACCGGCCTTCCTGAATCTGCGGAGGGGATTGAGTACCGTTTTTTGGGGATCGCCTCTTGGCCGCGATATGCATTGCTCCCTTAACGTAGAGGCGCTGGTGAGACAAACGGGTCAGGAGAGTTGGCTGCTCGGCTTATCTGGTCGTCCTGTAAACCCATGCATTTAAAGTGCCACCAGGCCTTGCAGGTTGAGCATTGCATACTGCGTTTGACGTCCCACAGGTAGCCATTTCGTCCACATCTGCTGTGGTCTATCAATGGTTGCAGCGGGCAATCGGTGTAAATTGATGCCATGTTTAGGATTAGATGTAAAATAGGAGGTGTGCGCAAAATATCAAAGGTTATCTCTCAAAAGTTTTGCTAGAGTAATAAAATTCAACAATTGAACAACGAAAAGTTCTTTCACAAATTTGCACGAGGGAAAAACGAAATCGATTTCAAACGTACCGCATCTCTATATCGTTCTCAGTGGATCTCCTAAATGAAAAACGCTTAAGCTCGTTCTCCACGGATTCGGCGAGCCAGTTGGATGTCCTTGGGCGTGATGGTAACACCCTTGTCGTGAGTGGCGCAGAGGTTGGTATCTTCGAAGAAGCCAACAAGGTACACCTCGCTCGCTTCCTGTGGAGCTGAGACAGCCGAGCTTTGGAAGTGAAGGCCCTTCTTGAAATCCAGGGCGATCTTACGAACAAGTCGCTGAAATGGAAGTTTGCGGATCAATAGCTCAGTGTTCTTCTAGTAACGACGAATTTCGCGCAGTGCGACAGTGCCTTGCCAATTAGGCTTCTTCACACCACCAGTTGCAGGCGCGCTCTTGCGAGCGGCCTTCGTCGCGAGCTGCTTCCTCGGGGCCTTACCACCTGCGGACTTCCGGACAGTTTGCTTAGTGCCAGCGATTTGGAGATTTTCACACCGCAGATGCTGCAGCCAACTTAATTACCGAATTCGATTTTGATGCTGAATCTGGACGAACTTTCGAAAGTTGGTTCAAGAAATATGAAGACATGTTTCAAACCCACTTTGCTCAGTTTGGTGATGCATTGAAAGTTCGACTGTTGCTGCGGAAACTGGGAACAGCTGAAGACGACCTGTTCAAAAATTTCATGCTCCCCAAACACCCTCGTGATCTTGGTTTCGCAGATGCTGACAAAATTCTGGCTCTAACATTCGGTGAGCGAAGTTCCTTGTTCAATATCCGTGATCAGTGTCTCAAGACTACCGAGAGGGATACTGAGGATTTCATCACATATGCAGGTGTGGTCAACAGAGAATGCGAGCGCTTTCAGTCCAGCTCCATGACCGAGGATCAATTCAAGTGTCTCTTCTTTGTGGCTGGTCTCCAATCGCCACACGATGCAGATATTCGAACCTGGCTACGCTAATAAAGCGAACACGCTCCAGGGTTGATGCTTCGGAAACTTACCACCGAGTGCCAGTATCTTATCAATCTCAAGGCTGATGCTGCAATGCAATGACATTCCAAATTCTCTCAGCCTGATATGGTATGCAAAGTAACTTCCAAAAGGAAGTCAAATTCAAAACGAACTCCAAGAAAACCACCCACACCCTGCTGGTCTTGTGAAGAATGGTACTATTCACGTCAATGTCCCTACCGGAACCACAGGTGCAGTAAGTGCGGTCGAAAGGGTCACAAAGAAGAATGCTGCAGAGACAACTT